TCCTTGGGGGGTTTTGGGGGGGGGGGCCCCCCGGAAAGGGCCCTTAAAAAGGCCCCCCCCCCCCCCCCCCCCTTTGTCCCCCTTTTCCCCCCAAAAAAAAGGGGAAACCTTTTTTGGCCCCCCTTGGCCAACGGGGGAGGGAAGGTTGGCCCTTGGGGGTTGGTCCCGGGGGAAAAAATTCCCCCCCCTTTGGGGGGGGGGGGGCAAAGGTTTTACCTTTTAGGGGATAAAAACCTTTGGCCCCCCCCCCCCCCCCCCCCCCCTCACCTGTCCACCGCCCCCTCCGAGCTCCCCACTGACGGGTTCTGCCCCACCCCCTTGTACCAATCCCGTGTGCCGACGCTCACGGGCGTGACAACGTCGTTTCTTGTCGACGCCTGATTTGCGCTCGCTCCCTTTGTGGTTGTTGTCTATCTTGTCTTCTGTTGGGTCGTCTCAGTTGGCCGGGTACGGCCTCTCGAGGGAAAAGACTGCGCTTTGGGCGTTGACGCTGCCGTTCAGGGACGCTAAGTGTGCCCTGGCGCTCGCGTACTTTACGGTGTTCGCGGTCGTCATTGCTCTCATGAAGGTGAGGTTTACATGTTGTTGCTGCCACTATTCGGGGCAGCGGCTGATGTGTACTAGGTAAACATGTTTGGTAGTGTGGCTGATGCGTTAAGCGTATATGTGCACCGAAAGGGGTGCAGACTGGCGCCAGCCTGACAAGGTGAGACGAAAAATAGCAAATACGCACGGAGAGAAATGAGATATACATATGAGTCTGTTGCTATTTGCTGTGCCGCGTTTCGCGTAGTAATATTTATGTCGTCGCTGTCCTGTTGAAAAGAAGCCTTTGTGCTAGAGGTAGTGCTCGCGTAGCCTTGCTGTTCAGCAATGCCTTGTGCGTGGCCAACCGCAGCCCACCTCTCACGGTGTCCGCCTTTTTCGAGCAGCCGTCAGCGAGGTGTGCTGTCACATCGTAGCGTACCTTGCCTCTGTTTGCGGGGTACGTTGTGTGCCAGATATGGTGCAGTACATCTCAACCAAAGAGCGTTGTTAGGCTGTCCCCACCGTCGTGAGGTGTAGCAGTCGGACTGCACTCGTCAAGATCCACAAGTCCCACCCCCATCATCCGATGCCCCTCGTCCACGTGACGCGGTCAATGAGTAGTAATTCACCACACTCTCGTTCAGTCATTTTTTTTTTTGTGGAAATACAACAACGCTTTCTTTTTTTGGCATTTTGGGCTGGCCTCGCAAGCTTTACGCGAGGTCAATTCAAATATTTTGCTACATCCCTCTGTTGTTGTGTTTTTACCTTGCCCCGCTCCGCGCGGTCAATGGTCTAACGACTACGGTCTGCACGACTATGAGTACACCCCCCCCCCCCCCCCCCGGTGTTTGCCATCGGGGTTTGGGTTTTCGTCGCTTGGCAACGACGTTGTAAAAACAAGCCCCCCACTCGGTGTTTGCCATCGGGATTGGGTTTTCGTCGCTTGGCAACGACGTTGAAAAACAGGCCAATTCACTTCGTGAACTCGGCAACCAGGTCGCCGTTTTTTTTTTTTTTTACCTCGTTTTTTTTTTTTTGGCGGGTAACCATAATGGTGGTCGAGTAGATCATGTTGTGCGGGGTCGAGAAACCTCACTCCGCGCAACGGGGGATGATCGCACCACGTTGTGTTAAAATGGTCAAGCATCCTCGAGGCAGTTACACAGTGCTTACAACTGTCTCTGGAAGTGAAAGCACCAGAAAATAAATTAAGTCATACGTAGCTGTCATCCGTACGCAAGGAAGTAAGCACAAGATGCCGAACACCCTTAGCAGGATGCAGCTCACCCTTCATGCGACTCGCCAAATACCTCACGGCGCTTCGCGCTTGGTGATGTGAGAGCCTGGTCCGGTGAGAACCCGGCGTGCTCCGTCCCGGCTTTGTAGGGATGCGAGGTCAATGGTCAAACAAGTACGGCATGCACGACTATGAGTACACCCCCCCCCCCCCCCCCCCCATTCTCCGATCGCCCCTTCCGACTCACAGGACGTGCCAGACGTGGAGGGGGACCGCATGTTTAACATCCCTTCCTTCTCGGTGGTGCTCGGGGAGACCAAGCTCTTCGCGTTCGCGCGGCGCCTGCTGACGGCGCTCCTGTGGTCGACGGCGGGGGTTCTCGGCGTGGGCGCGAAGGCGGCCGCTTCGGCGAGCCTGCCCCTGACTTCTGGTTTGAGGCGAGTGGCTTGTGTGGCTTGTGCTGGTATTTACGAACGTCTACAGGCGAGTGGGTTGCGGCTTATGCCGGTATCTACGAACGTCTGTAGGCGAGTGGGTTGCGGCTTATGCCGGTATGTACGAAGGTCGAGTGGGTTGCGGCTTGTGCCGGTATCTACGAACGTCTATAGGCGAGTGGGTTGCGGCTGGTGTCGGCATCTAAGAACGCCTTATTACCATTCGAGGAGGAAACCCAGCGCCTTGAATCGATCAGTCACCCCCCGGTTCCAGAAAATTTGGCGTGGTGGTGTTTTTTGCGGCTATGACTTTTTGTTTTTTTTGTGTGTCCGCTGTGTGAAGCTTGAGCGTCCTCGAGCACCCACCCTCGAAACAGACCCCATGTGTGGCAGCAGGGTTCGTCGAACGCCCCGCCTTGAAAATTTTGTCGTTGTTCTTGTTCTTGTTGCCTTCGCATGAATAAAAGGGTCGTGTGATAAACGGCTCATACTTTGTGAGCAAGGCATGCCAAAGAACGCATCAATACAAGGGTCGTGTGATGAACGGCTGACATTTTGTGAGCAAGGCATGCCAAAGAACGCATCAATAAAAGGGTTGTGTGATAAACGGCTCATAGCTTGTGAGCAAGGTATGCCAAAGAACGCATCAATAAAAGGGTTGTGTGATAAACGGCTGACATTTTGTGAGCAAGGCATGCCAAAGAACGCATCAATAAAAGGGTTGTGTGATAAACGGCTCATAGCTTGTGAGCAAGGTATGCCAAAGAACGCATCAATAAAAGGGTTGTGTGATAAACGGCTCATAGCTTGTGATAAAAGGTATGCCAAAGAACGCATCAATAAAAGGGTTGTGTGATAAACGGCTCATAGCTTGTGAGCAAGGTATGCCAAAGAACGCATCAATAAAAGGGTTGTGTGATAAACGGCTCATAGCTTGTGATAAAAGGTATGCCAAAGAACGCATCAATAAAAGGGTTGTGTGATAAACGGCTCATAGCTTGTGATAAAAGGTATGCCAAAGAACTCATCAATAAAAGGGTTCGTGTGATAAACGGCTCATAGCTTGTGAGCAAGGTATGCCAAAGAACGCATCAATAAAAGGGTTGTGTGATAAACGGCTCATAGCTTGTGATAAAAGGTATGCCAAAGAACGCATCAATAAAAGGGTTGTGTGATAAACGGCTCATAGCTTGTGATAAAAGGTATGCCAAAGAACGCATCAATAAAAGGGTTGTGTGATAAACGGCTCATAGCTTGTGAGCAAGGTATGCCAAAGAACGCATCAATAAAAGGGTTGTGTGATAAACGGCTCATAGCTTGTGATAAAAGGTATGCCAAAGAACGCATCAATAAAAGGGTTGTGTGATAAACGGCTCATAGCTTGTGATAAAAGGTATGCCAAAGAACGCATCAATAAAAGGGTTCGTGTGATAAACGGCTCATAGCTTGTGATAAAAGGTAATCAGCCAAAGAACGGACCGATACAAGGGTCGTGTGATGAACGGCTGATACTTTGCGAGCATGGTATGTATGCCAAAGAAAAGGGTTGTGAGTTTGGCATCATCGTCGTCGTTTTCTTGAGCCTTATGTGCCTGTGTCCTCGCTTTTCCCGCCGTGTGCGGACGTTGCTCATTTCCTCAGAGGGCTCATGTCAGCCGTGGCGCTGATCGCCGGCCAGCTGGTGAGAAGGCGGGCAGCCGGCGTCGACCCGAAGCAACCCAAGCAAGTCTACGACTTCTACATGGACCTCTGGAAGCTGTTTTACTTGAGTTACCTGTTCCTTCCCCTGGCGCGGTGAAGACAAAAAAAAAGCACGAAAATGTGCCCAGAGGCACCGGATTGCAGGGGCTGGGAAGAGCGCAGAAGGAAGCGGGCGCGGGCGAACACTGGGCTGGCTTACGTACTCATTTCAGCGAGCCTCCAAACTTGCGAACCTCTGGTTTTGGTAAGGTTCTAGTTCCTAGGGTTATTATCCTTCTGCGAATGGCAGTTTTGGTGAGGTTCTAGTTCTTAGGGTTATCATGCCTCTGCGAATGGCCGCTGTATAGCTATTAGTTTAGGGGTGCTAAACCGAGTTCATAAATGATGCAAATGGTTTTTCTGTGGTTCAGTTTCTTAGCCGCCAAGTTCTTCAGTGCAGGCGCTAATTGTAGCGCATCGTTTTTTTCTCTTGTTTTGTTTTTACAATCACAAGAAGTTTACGTGTAGCAACATTTTTTACCCGTCCGTCAGAGTCCGAGAGCATCGACGGTCGTGGTGGTGTTGTGGCCTACCTGAGCGTCTACCGACCCCCGCAACCATACAGCGGCGACAAGGTGACAGACCCCCTTGGCCGGGGACAAGCTCAACAAGACTGTGGTCGTGTTCTCGCGCATCGGGCTTTCTATCTCGTAGGGGGAGCAGAAATATGTAGCTGGGGTGGGTGGTTTTGTGTGGTGCAGCAGAGTGGGGGGGCGTACATCAACACGGGTTTCCACCATCATCCCGGGTGTCCCACATTGTTCCGGTACGGGGCACGCCGGGTTCCCGTGTTTCCAGGCAGCAAGCGTCCCTACCGCTTGCACGTAAAGGCGCCAGCAGGGCTGTGGTCCGCAGCCGAGAACGATTGATCCTCCTTCTCGGCACAGGGTGTCTATAGCATACGTACGTATGTACGAGCGTCATGTATTTGACCCGTTGACCAACCATGGGAACACATGTACTACTACTACTGCTGTACCAGGCTGTGAGGAAAATGTTGGGTCCCTCCTTCTAGCAAAGGAACGTCGCAGGGCAATCACACCGTGCTTTTCGCGAAACATGCCGCCCGCTTTTCTATTGCGGTGTCCGGCTGGTACTTTGGCGTTTCGGCGGCACCGCTTGGCGCTCATCTGGGTGACTCTCCGCGTACACCCACCTCCAGTTTGTCACCACGTTGGTTCTTGTAAAGCCTATATTTAGTACAGGAGCGTTATTGTTTTTTCCTTGGGCGGGTACTGTAGTTGCACTTGGAGTATACTCCTAACCACTCCCGGCTCGCTCTCCGGCAGGAAGCAAGCCAGTAGTCTTGGCAGGTTTTTCGATGAAGTAAACAGGTTGAGTAGTGCCTGCAGTCGGAGAAGTTGAGGGGCTCCAAGCGACGACGGCCAAACTCAAGAATCACCCGTAACTACGTACTCCGCGATATCCTGTTGCATGATGGCGTTCTTCGCGAGCGCCACTGAAACTGTGCATTTTCGGTAGGGCGGAGAGGTGTGGACGATACAGATCGATGCTGTCGCGGCTGAAACGGCATTTCTGCAAAAAATGATATGATGTTAAGGAGCCGTCTGCGAAGGTGTACCGATTCTGGTAAAAGTTAATCGACGGATACCCTGCGAATCGGGTCCTCCTCAACAATGTGCAGATTCGGTAGTAGGGTTGAGAGGTGTGGAAGTTATAGATCGATGCTGCCGCGGCTGAAACAGCAATTCTTTCTGCTAAAATGATGTGGACCCCACCTTTGTGACGCCCGTCTTTTCCGAAGCCGCTGAGACAGGAAGAGGGCTCCCGTTGAGGCCGGGGCTACCCCGGGGCCATTCTTTTCGCCGATGCCCATGGGTGTGGATAGCACCAAATCGCAAAGTACTGGCAGACGGCACACCTGACAACTGAACTGTTTCGGGTCGATCTTTTGTTGTGGTTGTCCCCCCATCATAAACCGTTTCGGTACACAGCTGCTCAGTGCCGTTTGAGAACCGTGTTGGTCCACGTTACTTGGACGCCTTGCGTGGTTACTAGGGGTTACAGGGCAACCAACTAAATACATTCAACGAAAAAAAACGAGGAAAACTGCCAGGCATGTAACTACAATTGGTGTATTTAGTGTTCATATCATGAGAAACCACGGACGACACATCGCAAGAAATCAGTACCATGTCGTCGCCAAACGCACGTTCTTGCCTTCCGTTGTCTTTTCCGCCTCGGTAAATGAACAACATACAGGGGCGACACAGAAGAATCATGCAGAAAATGGAGAACCTTCACGGCGGATAGAGCGATGTCAGGTCAAACTTTCTACCTCATCCGAAGAGGTACTGGAATGACCGACACCAGTATGCGTGTATTGGAATATGAAGGACACCAGTGTGCGTGTCCGTCCATATGTAAGGCAAACGCGGAAAAGAAAAGCAGGACGCCACAGCAGCGGTAGACGGCCTACAGATTTCTAATGCTGTCCGAGGCAGCAGTTAATACTTCGGAAGAGGCGTTTCTGTGTACGAGGCCAGCATTTTAAGATAAAACCCGACTAATTGCACACGCCCGCGCGGGGGCCCCGTGCCTGCACACGCCCGCCGGGGGGGGGGCATGCCTTCACGCACACACGTACCCCCTCCTCGGAAATACGCACTCGAGGAGCACGTGGTGTGCTAGAATCGAGGACGAGACGGTTCGGACGTGGGCTGGGGGCTGGGGGCCAACACATCTCTTCAATCAAAAGACCCTAAGACGACAAAGAAACAATTTTTTTCAACATCATACAACAGCATGGAACACACACGTACACCTTTTTAAAATCCCCCCTGAATTGGAAGCCGACCGCGCCGTACGTCAACATCACCAGCACGCGCTAGCCTGAAAAGATCGATCATCGCATCACGGGAGGTGCTGACTTTTCAACTGCCGGTCCTCGGACAAACGCATCTTCACCTTCCACGCCCCTATTTTTCTTGTGGCAATAGAACCTTCACCACGAGGTGTTGGTCTATATCCCTCGGCCGAACCGCACGACGCTAATACTTTCGTCGTCCAGAACCTCGAGACAAAACATAATCACAGCAGGTGCTGCTTTTTCAACTGCTTGTACTTGGTGAAAGAGAACGCCACCATCCCAATCACCAAACTTAGCAAGGCGTAGAAGGGCCACCGCCAGGAAGCCGACTGGAGGGCCAAGAATAAAAAAAATAAGGGAAAGAGCGATTGAAGGCACGGGCGACAGACAGCGGCGTGGGCAGCGGGTTTGGGCGAGATGGAGGTACTTCTTTAGTACTTGTCCCACAAGATTCGACCAGATACTGACCTAAAACGATTTCGCCTGAAACCATCACTAGACAAGACATTTCGCGCGTGGCACACGCCATCAGGAAAACAACCGATTTGTGAAAATGCTCTCACGAAGAGCCGGAGCTCGCCCAGACACAACACGTGTATCTGGGGGAACAAAACGACAGAGAGCAAAGCAGCGGCGGCCTGTCGCTGCACGCAAGCATGGGCGCTTGCGTGACTCACCATCTTCCCCACGTGCTCCGTCAGCTTAGCGCCGACGTCCTCCTCAAGCCTGTCGTATACCTGACGGAGGGCGTTGTCATAAACGGAAAAACAAGAGAGTGTAACCCGTTGTCAGAAAGCAGGCAACATATAGCTTACAACCCTGCCTGGTCTACGTGCACCTGCTAAACAGTGAAAGCATCCCTCACAGAAACCAGCAAAACGATGTATGACGAGAGACGAGCAAGGATTCGAAGGCCATGGTGTCTGTTGAGTCGGGGGTGCGGGGGTACACGGCAGCACGTGCCATCATCTTGAGCTGCCCAATTCTAAATCTATCCCAATGTAGCTCTAGGTGCGAAAGCATCGAGACCGCTTACTTCCGTCACCGTGATGACGAACAAGGCACCTCAAGTAGAGACGAAAGGAGGCAGGCAAGCGGAAGAGGGTGCGCTTCAAACATTGCTATCCCCACATCTCAACGGAAAAAAAGTGCGTGCAATGGGTGGTCGTCAGCGACGGCACTGACGATGCCACCACCACCGCACGTCCGGCAGATGGTCCACGCCATTCTAGAAAATATACATGCAATCAAAAGATATACAATAATACTACGCGTTCGAGATGATGCCACAGTCGAAGGGGGTGTGTCGAAGTCTTTGCAGTAAGTGGGAAGAAACCGGCTGGATACTGGGCATATTTTTGAGTCTCTACAGCAGTACGCCTTTTGTTGCGGGTGTTGCTGTTCCGCGCAAGCGGCACAGACCCTCTCACCTGGTTGACGTGCTTGTTGAGGGTTCTAGACACGCTGGTTTGCATCTGTACCTCCAGCTTCGCTACCCTCGACTCCAAAGCCTGCATCACGGAGTTGCTCAGGTTTTCCTGTAGGAAAAAAACACGACGGGCGTATTCGGTCGAAACGAGGCGACGGGGGCACGCAGAGTGGAAAAAAACATGTCATGAAACCGTCGACGAGGCGGTCAAGATACAGGGAGTGGTGGCGATAGGGGGTGCCGAGGTAGACATGCAATCCATTCTTCCGGAACTCCTCATGTTCTTGGCACCACACCGAATGGCTGGGCCTTCAAGTTAGCCGGCATGGTAAAGAGGCCAGGGGGAATGTACGTGTGCTGGCGGCCACGGCGAGGGAGTCACTACACTACACAGATGGCTTTGCAACCAATGACCGGTAAAATAGTACTTGGTTGAAAGCGTCAATCACACATCCACCCAAGCCACTTGTGTTACTACTTCGATTCCCACAAACTTCCTCTTTGAGGCTGCTCCTGCTATTCCATGCGCACCCTACTCTCAGGACAGGTTGCCCGCCCAACCATTTTCAGCGTTCTGCCAGTGCTGAAGCTTAATACAGCACCCTAGCTCTGGATAGCTTGTCGTACCCGACAAAACATAGTGGTCGAAACGAACGGCTATATACCGTAAGGTTGCGAGTCAGCGCACAGGGGTGCGAACGATCTTCAAAGCGTAATTTCTCCACAACCAGGAGGTTAGCACAATCGAAAAAGGGCGGTTTCGGAAATATCTCATCGAGAGCTTTCCCGAAAAGTATCAGTTGGCGCTCGCACCCTGCTGGTTGTGGAGAAATTGCGCTTTGAAAATCGGCCGCACCCCTGTGCGCTGACTCGCAACCTCACGGTATAATGCGAAAAGCGTTACAGTAGAGGTCCCTGTTTAGTGCTGGTGTTTTCGGCTCGCACACACTGAAATACCAAGCCGTTGTTCTGTACTTTGAATACTGCCGGTGTCCGGTATGGTGCCGGTGAAATCTCTGGACACATACCGGCTCAATACAGAACCTGTATATGAGATCCTTGTTTATCCCACACACTGAAATACCAAGTCGTCGTGCTGTACTTTGAATACTGCCGGTGTCCGGTATGATGCCGGTGAAATCTCTGGACACATACCGGCACCAAACAGGGACCTCTACTGTATCATCTTCTCCCACAGCAGCAAGAATGACAACAGTGGGCTACACACCACATGCCAATCACAATTTTCCGGCGGTCCACAGACTTTTGACGCACGCATCAACCTCCGGCTATTTTATTGACGCGGCAGCCGTGTCACATGATGACAAACCGACCAGGAAAACAACACACACCGACAGTACGACATGATAAAGCGTGATCCCCCACACTTCCCTACCCACCCACACCCATAGCCATGTTACGAGAATACTGATTCGTGTGCAGAGGGAGCGGAGAGAAGTGCTAGACTACGCACCTCGACGATATTTAGCCGCACTTCTGTGCCCTAACCCTATAGCCAAGATTGAGGAGAGAGAAGAGAGAAAGAGTGACAGAGAGAGAGAAAGCACAAGCAATTCGAAGCTTAGCACCTCGGGAACTTCAAGTCGAATTTTCATGCCGTAACGCAATAGCCAAGAAAACGAGGAGGAGGAAGAGAGAGAAAAACAAAAGAAGCAACATTGCGCTTCGAAGTACGACAAAACACGTGATACATGCACGCACCTCGAGCAGTAGAAGGCGAGTCTCCGCGTCCCGCTCCGCCTGAGCCAGCGTATCGATTGTCTCCCGCAGGCTGTCGTGCACGTCTGTCCCGCAATCGCAGAAACAGCACACACGCGTACCGCGGGCACGTGTCAGCTTGCCGTACACACACACACATAGACACGGACATCCCACAACTGCGGTACATGGCGTGACCTAGAGACAGACAGATTGGCGCGCGCGCACACGCTCTCACTGTTTTTTTTTTATTGTTCTTAATATGACACAACGAAACCATCTCTACCATAGAAAAGAGTCTGAGACAGACGGTTTTTGGGAGAGAGCATGCGCAAAGCTTCGGTGCGTGTGTCTCACAAGGAGTTTCTACAGCCGAGAGCACGCTCTGCTGCCCCGGCACGCGGGCTTTCTGGCCCCTCCACCGCCGCCAGCAGGCTGGATTGAGGAGAAAAAACACGCAAGCTTCCAACGAAGCAACCAGGCACAACACTACCAACAAGCTCCTCAATTGTCCTGGTCTCCTTCTCAGCTACTGTGGATAGACATGACTTTGATTTTCGTTCATGTGACAAAACACAAAAAACAACGGAAAAAAAAAAAGACCAGCAAGCCAGCAGCAACTCCCTCCTGAATACTAATACTTACTGAATAACTCGTGTTCCATGTGGTGCATGAGGCTGTCCATCTCGTCCTCATCGTCCTCATAGGTATCCACCTCCCACGCATCGTTTGGATTGGTGTACACCCGAAGACTGAGCAGGTCGTGGTTGTTCGTTTTCTGCAACCGTCGGCGTTTGTTTTTGGTATCAGGTAGGGGGGGTCGGCGGTGGGGAAAACGTAAGCGGGGTATACAAGGGCCAGGCCGAGGAAGTGCTGCTGATCAAGTGATGCTTGATTTCGACTTGAAAAAAACGTACTGCTAATTCGGACCATCAGGAAAAAAAAAAAAGTGTTGACGGCAGCGGGTGCAGTGTCAGTACCCGAGACCAGGGAGAACAGAACAAAAAAAGAACCTCCACTTACCCGTTGCTTATCAAGGGCTCGTGTTTATTATCCCGCTACCAAGACTGGCGTCTTGTCCTTGGTCAGCCGGTTGGAGCGGTGGATGCTAATTCAGAAAAGACACAAACCACACTCAGGGGGTCCTCAATCATGCTCTTTAGAACCACTTCTTGTTTTCAACCGCACTGAGACTGGCGTTTCTTCATGGGCCAGCCTGCTAGCGCGATAGACGCTATTAGCAAAGACACACAGAAACACACACACACAGTTTTCCCGCTGACACTGACGTATTTTCATTGGTCAGCCGGTCAGCGTATTCGATGCTAATAACAAAGACGCACACACACGAAGCCGGTCACGAACACGCACGCATCAGGATTCCACCTAGCCAAAGGTTGGGAAAAGAAAACACCGTCGCTCACCTCGGAAGTCTTGGCGATGATACCCACGTTCGACTTGGACGCCCAGTCGGCCGGCATGTCGAGGTGCGCTATCGTCGAGCAACGTCGCCACCGCCCCGCGTTTCTAGCGTCTACCTCCATCGCAACCGTGTTCCCCTCTACCTTCAGCCGGACACGGGTGGACTACGTACAGCAGTAGGCGGGAGGAGAGCAAAACGTTGGCAGCGACCGGGGTGGGGGGGGGTATGAAAACTTCCAGGATCGACAGAAACAAGCATGGTCGTGGCGTCAATAACTAAGAACCTGCAGATTAGAACATGTATCCTTCTCAATCGCGAAACATTGGCCCCGGTGTTCTCGATGTCGCCTTGTCATCTCCCCCACACACCCTACACAAGCGGTGAATGTGAAAATCCTCCACAAGGGTATATTGACACCACCACCGGGTCGGGGCGAGGCCTGCCCTAATATCGCCGATATGTACAACTAAACAACAGAGGCAACAAGCACCAAGCATTTCCCCCAGTGTCAACTCCTCCTTCCCGCCCCCCCCCCCCCTCCCCCGATAGATTGCAACCAATCAGATTGGAGGATCCAACCAGCAACACCAGAAAAGGCGGGGGGAGCACCATCAAGTGTACCTACCCTACTTCGGGACGCGGCAAATGACTTAACCACCTGAGCCAAACGTTCCCCCACCCTTCTCTCTAAGCCACTCCCTGCTTCCACTTTCCCCGTGCCAAGCAACCCGTCCTCACTCCTCACCTGCATGACGTTGAAGTCGTCCCTAGTCTCATCGAACCTGACGTTAGCCGTGCACCCCTCCAAAGAATCGATCAGGTTGCCGTAGTTCCGGGTGCCGTTGTTGGCGATCACGGACACGTCCCGGTGCCGGCCCATGGGCTCCCCAGGCAGTTTGTCCCTGTTGAGCAGCTGCCGGTTGGTGTTGGCTACGACAACCAGGCCCGTAAACTTCTCGTCGATCCCGAAGAAACGCCCGTCTTGCCCCGCCTGGGGAACCCACAAAAACGACGCACACGTTTCTTCTTTGTGGCCTTCTGAACATGATACAGCAGGGAAAAACGCATGACCCGCAGTCCAGGTGTTGGGTTGGCAGCGGTGATAAGTTGGCCTACCTGCTGTACTCAACCTTCTACTGATGCCCGTGAAGTTCTCGTCAATGCCGAGGAAGCGATGCCATTACCGTAGGTGACATGACACAAGATACCACGCCCCCTGGACCTATTTTCAAAGCGCGATTACTTCATGACGAAGATATTGCCGAAAGCAAACGATACATGTTCGCAAAGCTTTCGACGGGAGGAATCCAACTCCGCCCTTTCGGCGACGTCACGGCTTTCCCAGCCGAGAAATCAAGCTTTGAAAATCGGCCCAGCGGGTGTGATATCTTAGGCAACCTACGGTATGCTGCCCTGTCTGGGGAACAGTCAAAAGGCAACAAAAAAATGACACATTGATGTCGGAGGTACTGCGCTTCCCTGCTTGAGTAAAAACGCCCCAACCGCCCATTCACCGCCCGAAAACAATGAGAGGAAACAGCAACAACAGCTGTTGGCTCGGTCAGCACCTGCACGACACAAAGACGTGCGCTCGGCGGATAGTTTTGTGTCGTCTTCCACATTTTGGGATGACAGAGGTTGACCAACGAGCGATAGTGCACCGTATGGTCCAGCTCATGCCGTTTGAAGGAACGTTGTGACCAACACCGACTTCGTAAAAACAATTTCTAGATGCTCGCGTATGAAGTTGGCATAAAAGCACGACAGAAACACAAGTTGTCCAAGAAAACTTGGCGTTTTTCTGCAGGGCAGACCGTATGTTTGTTGCCCAAAATGTAACGGCAGCCTCGCCATGCCAGCCTACTGGTGCTGGCGTGGACACCGCGAAACCGCCGAAAACACGCCAGCAACAACAACGCCACTAAAAAGTGGTACTCCAGAAAAAACCACGGCTACGTGGGAGGAAAGAAACCAGAGGGGATACGCGGATCGCAGCGAGAGAGGGTATGTACCTTGTACTTCATCGGTGCGATGACCAGAGCGATGGTGTCCCCGTACTTGACCTTCTCAGTCCTTCAGAGACACACAGCGGCAGCAGCGGCAGCAGCAGCAGCAGCAGTAGCAGCAGGAGCAGGAGCAGGAGCAGGAGCAGGAGCAGTAGCAGTAGCAGCAGACAGAGGCGGAACGAGCGCGTCAGAGGCTTGCGATGTCAGCGGTGCGGAGAAAGCAACAGGAAGTGACGAAACACCCCCATCAGCTTGGGGAAGACACGCTCGGCCCATGCCCTAGGTGGTTGAGCACGATAGCGTCGCACGTTAACACCTGAGCACGCCCAAAGGCTAGGGGGTCGAGCCCGACAACACCGTGGTTCACAGGAGCAAACGCGAGGTCTCGTGTGGTACGTAAGCGGGTGCGACGTGATTTGCTACTCCGACTACATTGTGGTCTACGTTAACAAACGTTTTTTCGGGGGCGGAGCGCCTTCGTGTCAGTGTCAGAGAACAACATCCTGAGGGAAGCAGCTCAGCGTAACCCACAACAACGAAACGCACAACGACTGCTGTGTTCGTGGGCATCAAAGTCTGTCCCGCCCTCTCTCCCGATGAACTTGCTGCTGTTTGCGGCAGCTCCTCGTCACGCACGCATCCCCCCTCCCTGCACAAAGGCAAACCAACACCCCGCCGCTACCGGTACGCCGGTTCCATTGACTAGGTGTGACTTATCTCTACGACTTGGATGTCACACAAAAGGAAAACACGCAAGCAATCGTGGCTGGCTGGGAGCTGCAGGGAACACGGGAGGGCGGTGGCGGTCATAGGCGGCGAGGGCTTACCCGCTGATTCGGAATTTCCACTCCAGGGAGAAATCTGACGTCGCAATGGTTGACCTCGACCATAGCGTCCCTAACTCTTGCGGCTTATCCGGGGTCAGCTTCAAATTTCCACGCCATGACGGGTATGACACGCGATACAGACGAAGGTCGTCCGCGCCGCGAAAAAAGGGGCGAAACTCGTCAAACATTTGTTGCGGTTATCTCGGGCCCGGCGGCGCTGGGAGGCAGTCAAGAATCGTCACCACGGGCTGACGGATGCACAAGAACGTCAGGCGGATATGGCTGCGGTAACAGTGCATGCGTATACCGCGTAAGATACACCTACAGAAGATAACACCCTCCCCACACGCACATACCACACCCGGTGGCAAATGTTTTTTTCGGGTCGACATGAGCCAAGAACCAAAACGAACGTATTCTCAAATCAGAATTGGACTACGAATAGCACCATACCCCACGCGCAATACCGCGCAATGCCACCCCTGGCGATAATTATTTTAGAAGCTAACGTTATGACCGGGGCGTGTTTTCTTGTGTGGAATACGGTACACGAAGTAGATCATACGACAGATGCCGATGCTGAACCATGAACGTTCATGTGGACCGCTAAACGCTGGTTCTGTTGTAGGTGGCGGAGCTCCACAAACATGGCACATCTCAACGAGGGCGCAAAATCGAGGCAGTGAGCAACCCAGCCTGGTATCCATGCGCCCATGCTTGTGTGAACTCGTACATTCGCTGCCAAAATCATCCTATGCATACAGAGGCCGATGAAGCAGACCAGACTCCGGAGTATCTATTATCTTCGATCAAGCCGCGAGTGTTCCGAACAAAAGGACGAGCCACTACATACGAGACTGAACCAAATGATCAAAAAGAGCCCGAGCAACCTCGGCAACGGTGGTTGCGTTTAACGTGTGTCGGTAGACAGCACAATGGGAACGGCCATCCCACTTGGACCGCCGACTTGGGTTATCCATCCCTGCTTAGACCAAGAGGGCAACATCACACCTTCTTTCACCAGACGCCAGACTCCAGACTCTCAAAAAAAAATTCCAAGTATTTTTTTCTTGTGCTTCAGTATAACGACGAGCTACAATAGGTATGCAACCACAGAGCACCACGCACGCCGTGCAGGTCAAGACAAGACAACTACAGCTCACCCTGACGAAGGACTGCATGATGTTGGTGGCACCGGTTTTCTCGAAGTAAGGGATGATCCTCGCCCCCTTGTGGTCGTGCTTGTCGAACGGCCCCAGCACCGAGAGCTGTTGCTTGAGCTCTCCGCTCACACGCACCGCACAGCACGCCAATCCCACCGCCACAGCTACTACCACTTGCACCAGGCCCACACGCCGCCCGGGCCTTGGCTGTTTTCTCCGCATCTGCTGCTGGGCCATCGTTTTAGCAATGGCAGCACACACACACCTCCCACAACCGACTTCTGTCTCGCTCTCCAAAAGCTTCCGATGTACGTGCGGATTGTACTGCACCACTACCTTCTTGTATAGGTTTGTGGAGACGCACTAAAGCCTCCGCCCGTGTTTCGCGACGCGAGCTCTCGTCCACGCAGGGTGGGGAGGGAGACTCACCGACTTGAGCCGGCGCGTTGCACACAGTTAACTTTGCGTTTCTTCTTCCGTTCCGCCGGTGCCGTGCTGCTGCTGCTGTGCAAAGCCCACGCCGGCCTGTTGCCTTTCAGCCCCGCGTGCGAGAACAAACCAGGCGGTCTCTCTCTCTGGGTCTGTCGCACGCGCAACTCCGTGACAGCGCCTGCTGGGTGGCGTATGCAGGTTCTGCACTGAACTTGCAACAAAATGCTGACGAGTATGTCAAGCCGTATCGCAACCCCTTCGCACGTGCTACCCCTGGAACGAGCCGCCCACCGGTGTGTTGTATAAGCCGGCACGTGGTGGGGCTGGTTTCGGATCAACCGCGCCGGGTTTCAGCGGAAGCTTTTTGTACACCGGGGAGATGAACATTTATCATGTAGTTCCGCCGCGTGCGTTCTCCGGAGATCGTGTACAGAGCCTGTGCTGCTGCACAGGAGGTGCTCGTGTGTGTGTTGATGCGATCGCCATTGTGCTACACTCACACCGAGGAGTCTGAGGAAATCGGAGGAATGGCGCAAGCAGGAAACACCTCGATCAAGCTCCAGTCGTTGAGGTGGGGGCAAGAAAGTACGGTACTTCTACAGCACTTCCTCTTTGTGTCCAACACGTCAATTGCACTGCATTTGCGCTCTTTTTCGCCATGTTTTGCGCTACTTGGACATTTCGGCGGGGAATGTTCACGTTGTCGCCATGACGGCAGCACCACCCTGGCTTCAATACCCCAGTACGCTAGATTTCTGCGGGCGTACGTAGATATTCACGAATTGTTTAGGCCAACCCCTACTTGTCCAAGGTGCTGTGCGTCCGCAACGAAAGCTGAAGTGTTCCGGGGTTGTTGTGCTGCGGAACAACGGCGGTCTCGTCGGTCTGCTGTCTGCTGTAACTATCACGGGTGTGCCGTCTACGATAATCGATGTATGTATGCTTATGCGGAAGAGAAAGTGCGGGTATCAGAGAGTCAAAGGCGCTTGTCGTGGCAAAAATCGATATGTGTAAGAGGAATGTGGCCAGAATCGATATGTGGAGAGGAATGTGCCGTATTTTACCCCTGGGGCGTTCTGAAGAAATAGATCCACACTTACGTGCAAGCACGGCGGCGTTTCCGCACATGTGAATATGCAGATGCGTATGCATAGGACAGATCATGATCTATTTAGTCACCTAGTATGTCTTACAGATTAGCATCGAGCAAACATTGGATGTACAGCATATTGATGAAGACTAGTGCATGTCGTTTGTTTTCTCGTCCGACAACTTCATGCATACAACAGTAGAGCCAGAGGCAGAGTCAGGCGTCTCCAAAACACCTTCAGATGTGTATGGGAATAGAGTTCGCATCAGGACACATCAGCATACAGCCACCGACGGATATTTTGCCCTAAGGCGTCTATGCATAGAAAACGCCATGAGGTGCAAAATCTCAACTCAACGCCAACATGTCCAGCAACTATCCCTTGAAAACGACACATCCGGAGCAAGCACTATATATTCCAATCCGATCCAATCCATATTCCAATCCGATTCAATCCGATCACCCGGTTCTTCGGTCCTTTAGATCGCCTAGGGCAAACATACCTCGATCACCTAGGTACATATATCTTTCAGATGAAAACTCTGGGCAAGAGTATACAGATCACCAGGTCCTTCAGATCACCTCCTGCAAACATACCCCGGTCACCTATGCCCAACAGCTCACCTCGGGCAATCATTCTCCGATCACCTATGCCCCTCAACCCACCTCGGGCAAACATACCCGAATCACCTGAGTCCTTCACAACACCTCTGGCATACATACACCGGTCACCTACCATGTCGTTCAGATCATCAAGGAGCAAGCATGACCCGATCATCGATGTCTTTCAGATCGCCTCGCGCAATCATAAACAGATCACGTAGTCACAAGGGACATGCCCTTCGAAAAAGAGTTCGCTCGATCTGGACGGATCCGAACTGTCCTACTGTATGTGTGGGCGTTTCCTTCCATCTTCGTAGAGCCAAGCTGGTTTGGGTGAGCAAGAACGGAACGAGAGAAGCAAAGGAAACGTGAACGAAAGACCTATTAATAATGCTGAACGTGATAGGTTTACACCAATGGGGAGGCAGGAAGAGCGCCCAGGCAGTTTGCACTTGCTTTTCTGTGATATACGGGGGATGTTTCTCTGTACTTCGAAGTGTATTGTTAAAGGCAAGGAAGGGTGTAACGTCAAAACTGTTGAAAATGTTGGTTCTCGGTAGACGCACACGTATCAGACCCCAAAACGCAATCGTACGTACGTACGCAGAGCTTTCGTACACCTGTACAGTTTTTTTTGTGTATATACGCTACATGAACCAGGTCGAAACGTGCGTTGGGAGAATAGAATGCAATGGCGTCGCCGCAGCATGACGTTCACATGGTGTTGAATGCGCTCATGGAGCTTTGACATCAGGTTTGCGGGGAGAACTGCTCTAAACGGCCCTTGAGAATTTGGCTACAATATATGATGTTTAATCTCTCATGTGGTAGTTCCATTTGAAGATAATTTTCTGTTAAAACGGAATAAGAGAAGCCCGGATGTAAGAGAGCGATATCGGCTTGTCACACCCTCTCTTGTATCGTAGCCTGCACTGATGTCTGAACATACACAGCTGGTTGTTTGACTTTATCCTGGTCTTACGTGACGGTTTCACTTGTGCAAGGCGGGTTTTGCTCTTGGTTCCTCTTCGAAATGACGGCAGGTACACGAGGGGGTCGCTGCAGGTTCTGAACCAGCTGAAACTGCCTCATGAAACCGAGTACATGGACGTGCGAGGGGCCGAGGATGCCTTCGACGCCATAAAGACAATGATGGTAGGTGAATCTAAAGTGTGTCGAAGTTAGAGGAGTACCCGGGGTTTAACAGGAGCGTGTCCTTGGCTCCTGCACTAACTGTATAACCAATCTACATCACCATCGCGTTTGTGCGACAAGCATTCGGGATTCACACGACAGAGCGGGGGGGGGCGATGAATGACTAAAGTATTTTCATGTCAGCGGGTTGGTCCACGCGGCCGATGCTAGTGAATGAAGCACAAGGCACATTTTCGGCATGTTTTGTTTTTTTCTCCTTGGGGGGACCTACCTCCATTCCGTAGGCGATGACGTGGGCTAGAGAGTCTGCTCGGCCTGAGAGTACCCTATCTCTCTTACTGGCGTGTGGTGAGGAATTGCCAAGCGCGCGGGCCGAGGTCCTTCGACGTGCTAAATAGATTATTACAAGTGGAGTTTTTTTTATTGTCCACAACTCGCAAGCGAGACCGCGAGGCTTCACCTGATTGGGCATGGAGTTGTGGGCCGAGGTCCCTAGCGCCAATAGCAGGACGTCCGTAAGCGGGCGGGCTGGTGCCCAACGCCGATGAACTCGTAAGCGGGCGGGATGTCAATGTCACATGAAGCGGGGAGGGTTGGTTCTAAAGAGATTGGGTCAACTCGGGAGGAGAATGATGCCAGGACTGTCGACGGTGGGAACCGAGCGGTGGCGTTAGCTGAGGGACTAGAGAGAGATGCACGTCCAAGCTCCTTCGTTTGGCCTGCCCCCAGTGTAGTTTGCAAATCAGTGGTGACTTCCGTTCTAGCTCGAGTGAGCTGTCACGCGTATGGGAGCGTGGTCGTGCATCTCGTACATCCTTGCGCTCCCTAACGCCTTTTGGTGTCGTCTCGGACAAACTGTCGTTATCCCTGTTGTTGTCGTCAGGTGAGAGGCGCGCCTCTTATCGCCATCGTCGCAGCCCTCGGCCTCGCCGTGGAGGCGTCCTCGGGGGCGACGCAGAATGGCACTGCGCAAGAGGCATCGTCGATGCTGCACGAGAAGTGAGCTTCGTTGCGCTTGGGAGGATGTTCACGTTTTCATGATCACGATACATAATCGATGGTGGAGCCGGCTGTGCATGTGAAGCGTCTTCGTCGCTGCGTGCCCGGTGTTGGCTGCAGAGCGTCGCAGTCCTTATAGCAGTGACGTATTTCTACCGCACGTTCTTTCTTGTGCGACCGTTACCCAATGGCAGCTTTGCCGCCTTGGTTCGAAGATTTTTTCCAACCATGTGCTTGTAGACATGGAATCGTTCTTTGATAATGGCGCCATGGATCCCCGATGCGTATGATACGTTCGTGAAGATAGCCCGTGAACGTAGAAAATACCCCGGGCAATGAGCCGATACTCACAGGTTGCTGTTCGACACTTTAGCGTGCTTCCCACCCCCTATCGGGGACCAACCCTCCCGCCGACCCACAACAACCATCGCGCATAAGTCCCTGAACACACGGAGCCTCAAAGCACGTTGCTGCCACTGGCCAACCAACCAACCCAACAGTAACAACGTTATCTCCCAAACGTAACAACCCTATCTCTCAAACGTAACAACGTTACCTGTAGCGTTCATTAACCCGCCCTCATTCCCCGTGGACGGGCAAAAAATACGGATGCAATCAAAACCACGAACACGAAAGGCTGGATTACCTCAAGACCTCGCGGGAGACGGCCGTGAACCTTGCCAACGCCTGCGATGCCCTCAAGACCACAATCTCCGGAGAAGCCGCGAGGGAGGGCAGCACGTGGAGTTCCACCGTGGAGGCTTTCGTCGGGGCCGCCGAGGCCATGCTGGAAGAGGACATCGCCGCGAACCGTCGACAAGGTAGTAAACGCTTTGGTAGCCCATTCAACGTGTCCATAGATCGATGGATTGGATTTTCACTCCATCCGTTCGTGCGGCATGTTCAGGGCATAGGCGTGATACGTGCCCGGTGTACGGCCATTGGTGCTAGTGTGGGAGCAGCTGCCGAAGAGACTCCGCTTCAGTCGAGACTTGCGCGCCGTTATTTTAGAATCACCAAGACGCACACAACCAACTACTGTACGTGGTATATGTGCCAGCTCGCCGTTGCGTCAAATAGTGTATTTTTTTTGTTTGGGCAATGTCGACAGCGCTGTGTCGTACGCTGCCCTTGTGGAGTAGCCTCCTTGCCGGCCTTACTTCGTTGATGAGAATCTGCTCTCGACGTGTCTACCAAATCAATTTGCTTGGAGTTCGGGATGTTCTCGGATATCCCCCGCTGTGGTCGTTTTATCTCTCGAGCTCTACACATGCCGACTATAGGGCAGGCCGTTCGATCCCGTAATTCACCTTCGCTGTCAGTCCCCTGTCATTTTTGCCGCACGGTTTCCCGCTGGTGTTTCATCCCCTCGCTGCCCATCACAGGCCTCTTGACCCTATCGTCGCCGTCGGTCTCATGTGCCCCATGGCCATCTCCCTGTGTGCTCTTTACAACGCTTTCCGTGCCTGATGTGGTGGCCTATCCAATGACGGTGGTCAACAGGGGGGTACGCTGTGGAGGCCCTGCTGTCGGAGCCGTCGTGCAAGGGAAAGGCCCGCCTCTCGGTCCTTACGCACTGCAACACCGGTAAGACGGGGTGTTATCTACCATATACGACACAATGATGAGACACACCACACCACACCACACGGCCCACCATACTACCACACTCGGTGGTAATGTCTTTACTGGTTAACATTGGCCCAAAACGTAATACTTCTACTTTTAAGCTAAATGTTCGGGCCACGAAAAATACCACACCCTTCAGAAAACAACCCACCCGGAAGTGTAATGACTGGCGTTTTGTGCTGTTACTGCTGTTATCCGATTGTGGTTGGTGTTGTTGTGTCGTCACGGCTATTGTTGCAGCTGCTGTCGAGTCTCGCGCCTCATGTACGATGTTGCCCCGAATCAAGTTGAAGAATCTGGGCGCGTGAGTGCCAAATAGTATGACCGGCAGGTGTGGTGCTGGCTTAGTTTCTGTTGCTCTCGGCGCAACCGTCCTTTCTCTCTTTGAACTCAACACATCACCCTGAAACAGGGTCACCTATCGGCGACAAAGCTCGGCGGAGTGCGTTGTGAAGCCCTTGCGATCCAAACTATCATGAAGAACGATCTTCCTTCGGCGGCAGTACTCAGTGGGGTGTTCTGAAGCCCGTTCTGTGTTAAGATTCATATAATGAGAAATGGTCACCCATCCGAGACGATAATCAGTGGGATGTTGTACAGCTACTGTAGTAGTGCTGCCAATTCTGACATCTCTCCTCAACGCGCCCTCCCCAAGGATCCCTGGCGACCGCTGGGTTCGGGACGGCATTGGGCGTGATTCGAGCTCTCGACGAAAAGGGTTTGCTGGCGAGCTGTTATTGTACGGAGACGAGGCCGTACAACCAGGTACGGTACACGGCTGCCGTCGCGTTCCGCGGGAACCGCGGGTTTCGCCTTTGCACCCACGGGATCCACCCGAGCTGTCGACGCATTCCTCGCCACCGGTTTTTTCAGCTGCCGTTCGGGCTGCTGACACGTGACGGAATTTCTTGTTTCTGTTTACCGTATACGAAGCGGCTGGTTGTTTTGTTAGAGCGGTGGTGTTTGTGTCGTATTGTAGAGTAGAAGTACTTTTCTTTTTTTTTCCCCGTTGTTCCGCCTCCCTTTTGTTACGAGCACTTGTCACAATATGACGTCACTCTTCGTTCTCTCTATTTCCTGTCGTTGGCTCGTGCGGCGTTATGCTCGCGCGCACAGGGCGCTCGCCTGACGGCTTACGAGTTTGTCGCCGACGGGCTGCCCGGCACGCTGATCCCTGATTCCGCCGCTTCTTTCCTCATGGCTCAAGGTACGGTCTTTACACCTCTTGCGCTTACAGCAGTGTTGTGTGATGGTGGCACAAGCTGCAGTCCATCTGCAAGAGGATCTGTATTGTCCACTATGGGCGAAGTTATAGGCAGTGTACAGGTGTGCTTTGGATTTGTTTCTGGTGGGTTCGACAAGCAAAAAGGGCGTCAGAGAGCATTTTAGAACCTTTGGGGACAAGACCGAGGCTTACCAACTCAGCCGGGATGCGCCGCACATTCCGTCAAGGACAAGAGCGTTAGGAAACACCACATGGCTGCCCCCGCCCCTCCCCACCGCTGATTCGTTCTCGGTGTAGCGTCTGTCTAGTGGGTAGACCACCCGAACGATATGTATGCCCCACCCCCCAGCTTTTCAAGAGCGGATATAAGAGTCTACCACCTAAAGATTGCGGCTGTGCGTGATGAAAAGCCGCCCCCCCCCACGGCTTCGAATGCGAAGACCGTGTTCATGTAGTCGCGGAATGTCTGTGGTACGAAGAGGAGAGGGAAGTGTACATTACTGAGCTGGGAAAAATACAAGGGACGTACAGGGAGATGTTTGAGGCATGGAATAGAGAGGAGAGGACGGTAGCTGTACTGGGGAGTAGGAAGTGGTTTGAAAAGGCGGGAAGGGATATCGTTAGGATAGACAGACTAGGGAAGACATTTTTGAGCCACCTTTGGCAAAGTAGGAAGGAACGATTGGCCATCGGTGATCGGTCTTGTGCGAACAATGCTCCGTCCTCTCGAGGACGCGTGGTCAATGGTCTAACCGCTAAGGCATGCAAAACATAAGAGTACGCCCCCCCCTCCACCCCCCCCCGGTGTTTGTCATCGGGGTTGGGTTGTCGTCGCTTGGCAACGACGTTGTAAAACAAGCCGCCGCCCCCGGTGTTTGCCATCGGGGTTGGGTTTTCGTCGCTTGGCAACGACGTTGTAAAACAAGCCAATTCACTTCGTGAACTAGGCAACCAGGTTACCGTTTTTTTTTTACCTCTGTTTTTTTTTGCGGCAACCATAATGGTGGTCAAGTAGATCATGTTGTGCGGGGTCGAGAACCCTCACTCCGCGCAAGGGGGATGATCGCACCACGTTGTGTTAAAATGGTCAAACATCCTCGAGGCAGGTACACAGCAGTGCTTATAACTGTCTCTGGAATTGAAAGCACCAGAAAATAAATTAAGTCATACGCAGTTGTCATCCGTACGCAAGGAAGTAAGCACAAGATACCGAACACCCTTAGCAGGATGCAGCGCACCCTTTATGCGACTCGCCGAATACCTCACGGCGCTTCGCGCTTGGTGACGTGAGAGCCTGGTCCGGTGAGAACCCGGCGTGCTCCGTCCCGGCTTTGTAGGGATGCGAGGTCAATGGTCTAACGACTACGGCATGCACGACTATGAGTACCCCCCCCCCCCCCCCCCTGTCCAAACGCAAGGATGATGGCCAGCTCCTGGTTCGTCCTGGTGAAACGTAGCCTGGGCCGGCGAAAACCTGGCGTTTCGCTCCGTCCCGGCATTATCGGGATGGGAGGTCAATGGTCTAACGGCTACGGCATGCGTTTACATGAGTACACCCCCCGTCCCCCCGCCCAATGACCCCAGGAAAAGTGGATGCCGTCGCGGTCGGTGCTGACAGGGTGGCCGCCAACGGGGACACCGCGAACAAGATTGGCACCCTGCAGCTCGCCATCGCGGCGGCACACTACGGCATCCCCTTCCTTGTCGTCGCGCCGCTCACGTCCTGCGACCCCGAGGTGAGCGTGCTGATGTGTATCATTCTCCTTTTCAGGGCGAATCAGAAAATAATCGTGGTGTGCTAGTGTCGTCCGGAGCTCCAGGGTTGGGCTCCTGAGGGTCAGTAGTTCTGCGCAGGTTTCTCGAACCAGTGATCTTTGTGCTGTTGTGTGGGGTTCAGCATCAGGGACTCGCGCTGAGTGTGTTTCGCGCGATGAAGCCAGCTTGGTCGTAGCCTCGACGATATCTCTGCTGTGTGTCTATGGGGCAACGGAGTATATATGGTACTACTCGAGAACTCTTTAACAGACGCAGTAGGAGAGTCGGTTGCCCTTGACCAAGCCCCCCCCCCCCCGTCCAGACCGCCACCGGAGGCGGCATCAGCATCGAAGAACGCCCGGCGTCGGAACTCAAGACTGTGGCGGGCACCAAGATAGCGCCGGACGGCATCTCCGCTTGGAACCCTGCGTTCGACGTCACCCCGGCCAGGCTCATCACCGCGATAGTCACGGACAAAGGATGTGTGCCTAGGAAGGAGGCGACAGGAGACAAGGACAAGGAGTTCGACGTGAAGGCGTTTTGCCAAGCAATGTCTACGGGCGAGGTAGGGTCTGCCGTTTTGATATGTCGCATCGCCTCGTCGTTACCAACGCGCGACATTACGCCCCGTTCCTGCTTCCCTCGCATGCATCAACCTGTATGTGCTCATGAGTCTGTGTCGTTCACGGCAGGAGGCGTGTGCCGCCCTCCTTGAGCTTGCTCGCAACTGTAAGCCGTGCCCACGTGGGACTTTCTTCTGGCGTTCGAGGAATTTCAGCTGTGTTTCCCAAGGCTCAACGCTATTGCTTCATGCTACTGTGGCGTTTTCGGGCATCCGTCCAGATGTTGGAAAAGAGGGACATCAGTCTTCCCCCCAACAGCCGTGCGCGATCGGAGTCAAGTGAGATATGCCCGACCTCTCATTACCATCGTACTGCTGTGGTCTTCGTTGCCGCATGCAGGGACAACCGGACCAGCCACCCCCCAACCCGGAAGCCACCGCGCCCTCGGCTTCATTGGAAACCCCTGAGGGATACCGCGCTCTGACCGGAGAGGGGGCGATAGCCGAGTACCTCGCGGGCCTCCCCAAGTAAGCAAAGCGGGTGGCCATTTTGTATAGCCTTGTCTTTAGCAAGCGCAGACGGAGTAGTGCTTGGAGCAACAGCGGAATAAGTGTGTACATGGTTCAGTTCTGCCTCGTGTACCGCAACGTTTGACCCATGGGCGGCGGATTCCTGTTTTGGAGAGATACTTGTAGGTCAAATTTCTTGGTTTTGTCTTTTGGCGACATGTGGCCAGCGACGCGACGATAGAGCGTCGGCGGTGGGGTCAACAGTGGTTGGGAAACGTATACCTACCTATCTCGCCCGATTTCGTCCAAAATACCTGCATGATGTTCTTTGGTCAGCGGGTGTGTGTTGGTGTGCTTTGTCTCGCGCGCTGGCAAATCAACGCGGGCAATTATCGATGTCATTATTTGCTCAACATGAGTTAACCGCGCGCGACCAGTCAGCACCTGCCGCACTACGCCAAGGCGAAGGTTTTCTAGTCTTCGCTGTCGCGTGCCGTCTCCCTGTGAGCCCTCCCGCTTAGTGTAGATTTGCTCTCGCGCTTCATCGTATTTGGCCGCGCGCTGTCGATGGCGCCGCCGCGGCGGCGGGAGAGCGGCGGCGGCGGCGATGCCGGGAGTCAGGGTAAGGGTGCCGCTGATGTGGTTGCCGCCCGGGGTCGCCGCTGTTTCACTCCCCCTATCTTTTTAGCGTAGTACACGTGAATGCTGAAAGAGGCAGGTATCACAGCTCCCTTGTGCTGGTCTTGGCCCCTTCCTTCCTGGGCAGGGAGTGAAACCTAGTGAAAGAGGTGATCTGTTGCGATCGTTGCAACACAAGATGCCTCGGGACCTCCATGGTCTTCTCTCAACAGGCGCCACTACACGCACGCAGGCGACTTTAACGGAGGTCAGCGTGGCCGGCGCGACCGCTCGAGGTCACCCTTCGGGATACTCGTCGGCCACAGTAGCGCTAATCACCGAGGCGACAAGGAAATCGCTCCTGAGATGTCGGCGATCAGCAGCCGAAGAGTACCCCGAATGACTACCTCGAGTGGTTACACCGGCCACGTTGATCTCCGTTACCGGTCGTCTACGTCTAGTGGCGTCTGTTGAGAGAAGACCATGGAGGCTCCGGGGTATTCTGTCTAGTATCCTGTTTCGCACGTGGGATTAGACCCACCAAACCTGTCGTTTCTCGTCTCCGAGCCAAGAGTCACGCTCGACGCACCGGGGGGTGACTTTTCAAAGTGTGCAACTGCCAGCTGTCTGTCTCAGTCGGGGGAAATTGCCACCCTGTCGGCTCCACACGTCTGTGCGGTTTGGTGCGACTCGTTGGGCTATACACCTTGACTGTCCCTTCGTGACCGTCCTCACGCTGCGTCCCGCCGTTGGTTTGCGCCTGTTCCGTCCCGTGTGCCGGCGAGATAGGGTCATGGCGCTGATTGGCGCGTCGAGCGCGGCCGACGTCGTGTCGGAGGAGTTCGGGGACGGTAACCTTAACCTCGTCTTCCGCTGCAGGTGAGAGGGAGGGGGGGGGGGCGGAGAGAGAGAGAGAGAGAGAGAGAGAGAGGGAGAAAGAGACAGACAGACAGACAGACATAATCAGACACACAAACAGACGTATGTGTAGAGAGGTTTGACACCGTTACCCTTGGTCTTAAGGGTGAAACACGCCCCCTTCCTCCCATCACGTGCGTCGGAATGCCACCGTGCCTTTTCTTCGTGCTTGTTTTTCGCGGGGGCTAATGTTGCTGCTCTTGGTGTCACCACTTTCACTGGCGCTGCTCCAGGAATTAGAATTGAACGGCCCGGCAACTTTTCCTGACAATATCGTGTCGTAGTTTGCCGGGCTTGGCGCCTTTCAAACGAAAGAGTTTCCGCCGCCCTGTCGCTCCCCGAAACGTTTGGCATTGTACTGCGTGGCTCATTCCGCGTGCGATGATCGGCCCTTAACTCTCCGAACTGTTTTTACCCCTCCCACCGAACGACCAGTGTCGAAAACGTGCTGACTCCATGTGTCCTGGTTTTTGTCTGGCCCTGAGAAGTGATTCTGATTCCTACCACCCGTGTGTCGACGCTTGATCGCGGCAACAGGGGTCCGGCTGGGGACGCCGGCGGGACGGTGATCGTGAAGCAAGCGTTGCCCTATGTCCGCTGTGTCGGGGAGGTGAGCAATAATCAGTTCGTGCGTCGCTCGTTTCTCTTTTGTTTTTCATTGATGCCGAACTTTGCCTTTTTTTTCATTGCTATTCCTTGTGCTGTTGTTGTGTTCTCGAACAGCGCCGACTGCCACAGCAGCGATCACATCGTGTCGACCCCGTTTCTGTGCTGTTCACGGGTGAACTTGTGGAACTTCGTCA